CATCATATAGAAATCCTAGATTAGCCTACCAAGCATTATGTAGTTGGTTTTTCGTGAGCACATCGAGGATCTTGGCGCTCTATAAATGCCTATCAACACTGAGAGTTAAAAAAATAAACTTTATTAAGAAGTGGGGTCATCAGCTAACAGTTTTTAATAGGCAGTCAAAGCCTTAATTATTAAGAAATTAATGAAAGCACGAAAATAATTAATTATAATGTACAAAAATAAATTGCCACAGCTGTAAGTGAATACTAAGTAAGCTGAATGATCAATACACCAATGTATAAACAAGGATATTTACAATTCAGTTTTTTGGCCCAATGCACTGGTACAGTACCAAGGTCCAATGTGTGCAGGCGCCTTTAAGCAAGTTGTAACTAACCAAATCTACCAACAAATAGATTAGAACAGATAGTAGATTTTGATAGATTAGCTGGGACTATACAATCCAATTGATATCTAATCACAATCATATTGTATTTAATTTGAAGAGTGTGTGTGCAACTAATGTGTGAGTGAGCTGTTTTAAACTGATTCATATTTTATAAAGAAACACAGTAACCGTGATGAGTCACAGCAGTTCTTAAAAATCTTCCCATTACACTCTATATTTAGTTTATTCTAGTAGAAACACAAACATATGTTCATTTAAATAAATCAATATGAAGGTCGAAATTAACATTGTTTTACCAAAGTATTTCAGATATCTACATTCACAATACATAATAGCTTTCCCTAATAACAGGACTTCAAAGTGTAAGATGTCCTTTCATAACCGCAAACCTACTTTCACAGAGAAATCAATTACATGAAACAAGTTACAACTTGTTGGTTAAGGTTTCTGGCAATAGTCTACACTGTTGAATGTTTTCACAATACTTGTGATAATACTCGATTATAAACCTAGTCAGCAAAGCCTTTGTTTATCTATGATTGTAAAATAACAAGTATTTATAGCCTAGACAACAATTTGCACTGTTTACATTGTAATAAGACCATTGCCATTGCAAATTCTTATTAATTAAAAACATAGTGTATGCTGTTCCCGACCCAATATTTTTAAAATTATCCTTGTCTATGCAAGTAAATTTACTGTGTATGTTTTAAGAATATAATGTAATAATTTGATTGTTTATGCATATGGGTATTGTTTTGGCACTGGTTCACATTCTGTACCTACTTGTGTATAATCTGTATTTCTTAAACTGTCAAACACCAAGCGGTCACCAGTGACCGCAACCTATTGTTCTATAATTGTGTGTACAAAACCGGTACTCGACGAGTTAATTAAATCAATGTAGGTACCTAAATTGTTTTAGAGAAATGTCTTAAACCGCACAATCAGCATTTACATTACTGAAAGTTTGTAACTTAAACAGACACTATCTCTTATACTAGGTCCTGTCTGTATCATCATGATTACCTAACGTGATCAAACGTCTCATTGTGGAGGGGACTGTCCCTTTTTATAATTATGAGTCCCATTGTCCCCAAAATGAACTCACGGACGCAAAATTATTGTAAGCGAGAGTAATACAGCGTCAAACATAACTCGCTAATTTTTGATAGAGTCCAGTCGAAAAAACTGAGTACCTACATTTTTGTGCAGTTAGTCATGTTAACCTTTGTTGTGGGCACAAAGTTTGTGTTTACAGGTTCTATAATTGGATCTAGCTATTAGATGCCTGACAGAATCTAAATAAACGAATGGCTTGTTTTGAGTCAAAAAAAATAGTCACGTCAGGGATAGCTTAGTCAATACAAAGTAAAACTAGTACTACCTTCTAGTGGAGTCAATCACACGTATTACACCAATACACAGTAATCAAGTTAGAAGTCACTCAAATTGAATAGGTCCATTTTGTAAACGTGATCACTAAATAAAAATAAAAAATCTAATAAGAGGCCAGACACGGCGCTGGTTGCTACTTAGCGCGCAGTTACCCACATTCGTAGCGAATCGAGTGGCGTACACGAGAATCACGTAATAGATGATTTGGCAACCAATATCGCGCATCGTAACATAATATACGAATAATTATAGTGAACCTTTGACAATTATAACCAGTCAATGCTAAATTACAACAAAATGATCATGACTTTCCGTATGCACAATATGGCGACAACTGAAAACAAAGAATAGTTGTAAAGCGGCAATATCTTACCTGAGTCAACTCTTGATTCGTCTGCTTGAAGTTCTTCTTACTTAAATTTATAACGAGATAATTGATTTGCGATAAGCTAAACGTTAAAGGGTCCAGGTTCATAGTTCCATTAATGCAAAAACGAAAGCTTCAAACACGTTTGAAGCTTTCTCGATTTTCGACGGATTACTACAGTAAACTTGTGTTCTTTAACAGTTTGTTTGCGAAATAACAATAAGCCTAAGCCCAACATCACCAATTTTATTATTCACTTCGTTAACATAATTTTACCACCCTACACTGCAATTTATAACTTGAAAATTCAGCAAACGATGACGAAGGCACTCGCTCGCTCGCTCCATGCTCGGTCAAAATCTTCGCGACGCACAAGCACAAGTCGACGAAATCAGCTCATAATTTTGTACTACCAACATAATCAATACGAATAATGTTGCTACTTTATTTTGACAATATTGAAATTTCATGCTGAATAAGAGATATTTTAAAATAATTTATTTATTTATCGAATTCATAAATTTGATCAATATTTTCAAAGTACAATAGTTACCTAAGTACCGTCCACATCCTCATTTATTAAAATTTTAATTTATGTTCTCTAGCAACACTGAACACTTTCACAGAACACCTTGGAAAATTGGAACAAGTTGGAATCTTATAATAAAAAGCAATTGTGACAAAAATATAGTTTGTACAGGTAGCTACATTATACTCGATTTTACATTATTTTAAAGCTGTATAATATTTCCTACATTATGTCTTTTGGAGTTACATTACCTAGAGACCCCTAGGGATGTGCCGTGCCGTAATGGAGCGATCTAATCAAAGAACACGGTGATTAAAGTAAATACTTATGGTGAACATTGAGGTAGTTTTAGTGAGGTGGAATACTCAGAAAAAACCAATGACTAAAATGAAAGGTAATGGTTAATTTTGAGATGTTTAGTTGTCATGTTACGTCTTGTAATGCAAAGCAATTACGAAGGGAGTTTCTAAAATCGATTATTATCATCATCATTATCCACAGCTTATAAGTTCCCACTGCTGAGCAAAGGCTTCTTTACACACGGAGAAGTTTTGAGCATTAATCACCACGTTTGCTTAAGGCAGAATGGTGATTTGAAATTTATAATAATTAGATATTCGAAGCTTAAATTTGCTCACGATGTTGTCCTTTACCGTTTGTCAATGATGGGTGAATAATCCTATAAATTAAGTACTTAATATGTAGGTAACTCGAAAATCGATTACAAAATGTGATTGCTATCAAATACACGTAGTAGCATATCAGGTTATTCAACTTTTATAGCCTTATTTATTTTTCGACTATGTCCTTGAACTACCACCAGCCAATAGATAACTGTTTAGGGAAGAGAGAGTACAGTTCCTTTGTGACTGCAGGCGAGGGGTTGGAGTAGTCAGGCCGCTCGATGGGCCCAACAGTTGTATGTTAGGACTTTTTAACCATGTTATTCTGCGCGTAAACTTCACTGGCGCGATATAAGATTTAATTTTGTGTGAAATTATCTCAAATCTTCAATGTGCCACAGACTGTAATAGGGGTCCTTTTATGTTTTGAAGGCATGTTTGCGACACACCTCCTAATCGGCACGAGAGTTAGAATAGAACCGCAGAACACTCTGTTTTGAGAGGGAGGTCTTTGTTCTCCAATGAACGTATTTCACCAGCTGACAATAGATGATGACTATTTTTAATTAAATGTAAATAATCCTATATCCAAATTGGTGTTACTACTGGTCTGCCTCTACCAAGCGATGTCACTACTCGCCACCAAGTCTTAATTAATAAGAATTACTTAATTACGCTTCATAAAAATAGACCTTTTCTCGAATACAACTATAAGACATTATTGTATGCTCGTGTAACTTGAAGACAAGACGTGTCAATATAGATATTACATTATCATATATGGGTTAAGGCCTTCTACCTAGAAAATATTAAATAAAAAACCCGTTCTCACACTGAGAAGGAATGACCATTAACGATCACGGTTGGTGAAGCAGCATTGGTGATGGTGATGACAAACTTATAATATTTAAAAAATCCACGTTATCCATGTCCATAGTTTTTGTCTGTCTGTTTGCTTGTACTAGCAAATTTTTAGAATGGATGAACCGATTTTTCAAGATTTTTATTGGCAGCTAGCTAATGTACTAAGGAGTTACATAGGCTTCTGTTATTATGAAAGCAAGAAAAGTTATGTTCTAAACTTCATATTCTTCGCAGACGAAGTCGCGGGCAATGGCTAGATTTTTTATAAAAAGTTTAGTTTTTCAGTAAATCTAATTATTCGAATATTATTATCTAATCGCTTCCATTCAAAATCTAAGCGGAGTTGACAGAGGTCAGTGACAGTCTATCTGAATGGCGCAGTTGACGCACTAATTATAATATAATAAGAATAGAATAAAATAAGCTTATAGTAGTAATTATGTTAGTAACTAATATAACAATTAATATAACATGTTACTATTATGATCATATTATATTATCAGCTAGTTATAACTTAAACGCACACTAGCCACTGAGCTCGATCCTCCTTTAGGCAGCAAACTAAACCAAATTTATTTATGGACAGCTGGAGGATTTATTTAGCAGACGAAATAGTGGACAAATCCGTGAAGAATATAAAATAACGTTTAATTATTGTTCAGATTGGTTCAGATTTGGTTTACATGTAAATCTTCACATGTTCCTAAAAGCCAAGATTCCAAACGATAAAAACTCCATATTAAAACGTCAAACGGAACGTCAGTGAAAACTGATTCCTGAATCGTCACTGGGAATTAGGTTAGTTTCATTATTTTTAAGCATAAAAATCGATATAATTAATTGATAAACTCAGTTTATGGGTTCTTAATTTCACATTAAATCAATCAGCATTGAAAATTTTCCCCATTGTCAATTCACGGTACCTATTTTGTCCAGTGTTGTTTTGTGTAGAATGGTTACATTTACGCAGTTTTCTTTCGTATTCCGTACTACATCTTTACTAAAGCCGTATATAAAATTAGTTTCTTAATCGTGCCATTGATTTGTGTACTAGATACACTTATGATAATATTTTTCTATGCGTTATGTAACCTATATTGTTTAGCTGTAATGGGTGTTACTGCGAACTTTATATTTTTAATCTGCGGGAGTGTAAGCATCGGATATTCAAACCATTAATTGAAAGAATTACAGGAAATTAATGATACTACATGTACACTGATATTAAAATTCTATTTTTGCAAATATTCCACTTACCTACCTTGCAATTGCATAATAAATAATGTTTCTCAGTCTAATTAGAATAATCCATTAATTTCCATTGTTATTTATTTTACTGTGAACAAAACCATCCCATGTCTTATAAGTTTAGGTGTGCGACCTAACTAGAAATGATTTAACTTTCCTTGTATCATAACATACACAGTATCTATGTTGCAGAAAATTATCATTACAAATATTCTAAGGGCAAATCACTTGTTACCTATTACTGTGTTCTTTAGTAAAATGACAACAATAACAATAAAAGAAAACTGATACTAGTAACTTGTGAGCGCTTCAGATTCAGTGACTTTGTATTCTACTGATAATGTTACAGCCACTGTTTGTGTTTGCCTATAAAAGCCATATCAATATGCTCCCAGCTAATCGAAACACTGCAAAAATGTAATTTTTACCAACAGATATTCTAACCCAACAAAACATTATATTTTACAGGTATATGGCGGTGGTAAAATTCCTACGCCGCAACCTGGTCAGTATATCTTTCCCGGTTCTGACTGCTACGTTCATTTACCTCGACTGGAGTCACACTAAGAACTGGAAGTTGCAACAACAGAAAACACAAAACTAAGATGGCGATCTTCGGCATCACCGCGCGTTATGTCTGGTTCGCTGTACCCATTGGAGGCTACCTTATCGGAAAGTACTTGGATGACCAAGAAACGCTAAGGATGACTAACTTCAGAGATAAGTCCATGCTGTATGGTGGCACTGTTAAGCCCGGGGACCCTCCATCTTGGCCTTAAGTTATTCTCAGTGTAGTGATTGTCAATGAAATTATGTAATAATGTCAAAATAAAATAGTTGTATTCATATTTGTGGTTACTTTTTTGCACATATAGTGGTATGGTTCCCCACATACAGAGAATACATTACCTTTTTACACAGGAATAAATACATTTCAACTTTTCTATTATATTACATTGAAATGCTATTGCATTGCCTAATTATAGGAATAGTTATTAGTTAACCTTTCGCATGTCTAAAACGTGGATCCACACGAAACACAGTATATTTTCGATTGTGTCTCATATCCGTGCATTCAAAAGGTTAATCTTGCAATGGTTTCTAACTAGTCACTGTAGGTACATTACCTAAAAGTTATAATATCCAACAAAACAATATTAACATTTGTTCATTTATAGAATTCTGTATACCTAATTTGTTTTGGATTTAACCTCAGACAAATGGATACTAACTCGTCTGGGCTAGGGCTATTACTAAATATGGGTATGTTGATTTATTTTTTTAATGTTTTCCTTTTTTCTTATAGTACCTTTTTTTTTTGAGGGGGGAAAATCATCCATTGACTTCTCCCTCCCGGATGAGGCGAGAGGGAATGTCAGACTCTTACTGACTAAAAACCACCCCGTTCCTACTCCTGCACTTCGAGCCGGAGCCCCGGCAACCCGTTAAGTCTTATAGTACCTACATACACATTTGTTACCTACATTTAGTCATGCCAAACAAACAGTTCGAGCAGTTACCCAGTGATAAACATGCATGGACCGCTCTTATAGACAGAGTCAACACCTTGAAGATGCCGTTAATAACAATGTTAATGTTCTTAAACAAATAATGAGGTGCAATGAAGAGCGCGTACGGAGGTTGGGGCCTCGAAGTAGGCGACAGCTTGAGCACTCAGTGTATGCATGGTAGTGGCAACTGGTTGACCGCATGATGATAAGTCAACCGCCTGAAGCAGTTGTAACTGTTCGAGCAATCCCTGTATGTTCGTACGAAAAAATCTGTAGTTCACTACGTCCGTGTATAGTAGGCCTTTGGCTTTTATTCTGCAGTACTACTGTGATCTTGAAAGTGATCTATTTATCTGACCAAAACAGTACCAATCCAGAGGGTGAAGCCAAGTTAAGTTTATTTTTTGGGTTTTAATACTTGAGTATTTGATTATTGATTTTGCTATCATTCCTATTCTAAATCTAGTGAGAGCGAACTTATCACTTCGACCAGAGGCTACCTACACTTATTATACTCTTTGCCTGTCGCGGAGAACCTAACGGGTAACCGGGGCTCCGGCTCGACGTGCAGGAGAAGGAACGGGGTGGTTTTTAGTCAGTAAGAGTCTGACACTCCCTCCTGCCACACCTAGGCGGGGGCACGCCATTCGACGATTTTCCCCCCTTAAAAAAAAATACTCTTTGCCTACACGTGAATTCTCAAAGTAAACAATGTCTTGGTGACAGGACTTGGCCGTCATAATTCCGGCCACACCCAAAGAGAATATTACTTCTAGCCACACCTGAACCTGTTCTAATGGGACCGTTCGTCAGCCGGGTGCTTCTTTCCGAAGTGCTTCTCTTCTAAGAGAGTCCATCTCTCTATCTAAATAATACCTACAACAGATAGATCAACGGCATCCTCCTAAAACTTGGCACCTAAGTGCCCCGATACATCCCACTCCAAACTAATTACTTAGGTATTAAATACCTCGTAACTGTGACCCCTGATATGAAGCGATGTAATTGCCTGTGGACATGACGATCGATGGTTGGATCTTGTAACTTTTGCTCATAACTGTTTGTCATGGTATGTACAATGGGGCACGGTAAGGTATAATTAAGTATACTACTTTCTGCATAAGTATAAAATATTTTTAATTTATCACCCAGAGACCACTAGTGTTTTTTTTGAGGGGAATAAATCATCCATTGACTTCTCCCGCCTTGGTTGAGGCCAATGAGGCGTGCGAAAGGGAGTGTCAGACTCTTAATACTGTTCCTACTTCTGCTCTGAGCTGAGACCACTTCTTAACGTATAAGGAATTCGCATAGGACTAAGATGTAAATAAGTATCTACACCATCTACACATCGCGGGCCTGCGGACGGCGAGCATGGGTGGCTCCCCGTCCGACCAGAAATAGACCCGAGCGTACGGCGCGTCGCGTTCCGCGCGCGCCTCAAAGAGCCATCAGACCACCACAGATGGGGCCCAATAGGGCCGATGTCGATTCGGAGTCGCGGAGAACCTAACGGGTAGCCGGGGCTTCGGCTCGACGTGCAGGAGAAGGAACGGGGTGGTTTTTAGTCAGTAAAAGTCTGACACTATAGACGGGAGCAGTCATTCGATGATTTCAACCCCTTAACAAAAAAAAAAAGAAAAAAAACACCATCTACACATTGCCGGTGAACTGCTAATCGTATAGTTAGATAATATAATCGCTTAAAGACCTGTTAGTGCGTACTTATCAGGGTATTGTCACCTGTGACCTTGTTGTTGTTATTAAAATTATTTCTTTAGCGCACTATGATTAGTCCATGCATGGCCCTGTGCTCCTTTAAATCGTGGGAATTTTGATTACAGCTTTATAACAATGCCAGAGTTAATTACCTATTGCAGGTAGGGGTAGCTCGTACTCGTAGGTAGGTGTTATGACTATGGTACTGTGTAATTTGGGACTATCGGGTCGAGAGACAATTCGAAGACGAACTGGTCTTCATTATAGGTTATAAATAGGTGTTTCTCTAGTTACCTATTTAGTCTAACATTACTTAGGTAGACCACTCCGGTCTATATAGTACTTATCATGCCGCAATATGCTAAGCTACTAAGAAGATCTCGCGAAATATACATCCATCGGGCAATAATTAGGTAGGTACGTATTATCTGAGTGACCCGGGCCAGAATAATATTAGACTTTTTAATTTTTACATCCTCCTATTGTCAGCTAGTCGTTGCCGCCTTGCCGGGTATCCGGCGATGGCGGTACGTAGACGTTGCGTATACGTTAGAACGCACCGGTAGGTGTGAATGCTGTAGTTTCGGTAGGTTCCTGTTTCGGATAGGGCGGGAGGAAACATCTGGTTGATGGTGGTTGGTTGAGGCGCGTCGCGTTATGGCTCGAAGAGCAAGAGTAGGAACGGGGTGGTTTTTTTTGGTAAGAGACTGACACTCTTCGGACACTCTCTCTCGCCAACCCAAGGCGGGAGAAGCCATTGGATGATTTTCCCCTCTCAAAAAAAGGTATGAATGCTGTCGTAGATGTCTAATAATAAATACTCTTCACAATTACGAACTTGGCTACCCGGAAACCGGGGCATAGGTGTAAATTTTGCCCCATGGATAATGATTTCCGAATGAGATATGCTTACCGATTCTGACAATTTGCCTAAGGGCCTTATTATCATTTAGGTAGTAGTAGCAGTTTACTAGCGGCTGCGGGGCAACGTGACTTCCTACGCACAAGACAACGTATTTGTCTCTCGACCGCGAGCGACGTCCTCGCTGGACACCTGCGGCGTATTCGCGACGTATTCGCTGCTCGCCCGCCCTCAGCACATTTATAGTATGATAAGGCCATATTGTAATATACCTACGTAATAGGTCTGTTAAAGAATTGCTTACCTCGCTGCTTGGTTTATAGTTGATCTGCTAACCTCGTTGCATATTGAAAAGTGGTGGCGAAACGATAAATGTTAGATTTCATTCCCAGGTCGGGGAAAATTTCCATTTTTGACTAATAATAATTTATTTAGAATTGAATGGAAATAGCGATCATAATTATACTGAAAACAAAATATAACCCGAGACTCAACCAGCGAGGGAGTCGGAAGTCCAAAATTCAAGTCCTGCGTACCTACTTACCTACCTACACTATTTAGTACGTAGGGCGCACGTTCGCGATCCCGAATGACATGTTGCTCCCGATACGCGTTACTTATTCATGTACCTATCATATCATGTTGTGCATTACCACCCCGCCACCCGCTGATAACATCTAGATTCACTTATTTATATTATTGTACCTTAGGGTTTGAAACGCGCAGGTCGTAAAATATCGATTGAAAGGACTGCGATGCACTACCCATTTTAATCATGTTTCAAATCGTCCCTTTAGCAAGCCATGGTGTGCCTATAGGTACTATAACTATGTAGCTAGCTATAGTTGCACTCATGTTGTGTGGGTTATCAATCAATACGAGGCATTTAGAGGCGGTGGTTTGTCCATACAAGGGTAACAAATATTTAAACTATTAGGTGCTCAACCATGCACAACTAATTTATTAGCCACCGTGTTTAGAGATTGCAATGTGGATTATAAATTAGGTTGAGATTTGGAGGTATTTGTTTCCAATAGTTACTTAGTTAACCTAGTGACCGCAGGTTCAACAACTGATAGTTGCGGTCCCAGGTTCGATTCCAGGACAACTTTGATTAATTTTTATTGCATTGGTTAAGTACAGGCTACGGGTTACTGGGATAATGATAGGTCAAGAACTGCTGTTTGATGGTGGACTGTGGGATATTTTTCAAGTACAGTTAATTAAGATAATTAATTAATATAAAATTAGGCTGCTTAGTTAGCCGAGTGGTCGCAAGTGCGACTACCATCAAGGGGTCTCGAGTTCGATTCCCGGGTCGGGCAAAGTATCATTGGGTTTTAAATAAATCTCATTAGTAGCAGGAGTCTGGATTTGTGCCCGGTATATGGCATCCCCTATTACATAGGACTCATAACACAAATAGTGAAAAGTGGGTGTTACATTGTACAGTGGCATAACGTGAACTTCTGCCTACCCCTTCTGGGACAAAAGGCGTGAAGTTATGTTATAATATAGTTAATTAATATTCAATTTAAGGTAAAGTACGTACCAAAAACTGAACTGATACCTATATATTTAACTATACTCACCTAGTTGTTTAATCCATGATGCAGACACATGCCGAGGAGACTCTCAGGCTGATTATGAAATGCAAAAGGTACAATCAAACACAATTACGGTAACGGTAGCGACCTCCATGTTAGTAGGTCAGTGTCTGCCAGGAATCGATGACGTGGTTAACGAGCACTTCTTC